ATTTTTTGCATATTGTAGCAAACAAAATTTTTATATATTGCAGTAAAAAATTCAACAAAAAAATTAATACTATGGTTAAAGATGGGTTCCTAAAGGAGGCAGGGGCAAAAGTCAAATATCTCTTACTAGAAAACATTAAAATTTTTAAATTAATAACTATAAAAAAATAAACTATAATTATTCATTATTATCTAAATTATTGATTTATAATATTTTTTGACTTTTATCTTTATTAAAGTAAAAAGCTATAAATTTTGTTTCTTAAAAAAGGATATAAATAATCTGTGAAATTTTATATACTAAATACTTTAGGGACTTATCATTATTTTACTCTCTTAGAAAATTAATATATATCTCTATTATCTAAATTTGTTGTTAATTGTTTATTATTACCATAGATTGTTTGACAATTATAAATTACTAAGTTAAAAAAAAATGAAAATTAATAATTAAAAAATATTAATAATTCAAAGTTTTATTAAAAAAGATTAAAAACAAAGTTATTTCTTTTTCAAAAGAATTGCTTAATTGAAATATTTTTCTTATTTTATTTGAATATTAGAAAATCTTCTTTGTTACCATTTATAGTATTGAACAAATTAATTTGACTGATTCTTTATTTAAGTAAATATCAGATTGAAATATTTTAAAATAAATATTTAAATCTTAGCTTTTATTTATAAAAGTTGTATTATTATTTAAGAAATTTGAGCAAGAGATGAAAATTTACAATTCATATTATATATTTTTTAATCTTTTGATATTATAAATATCTTTTTTAAAAAACTTGGATTTTTGTGAACAAATATTTCTAAAACATTTTTTTCAATAATCAATGATATTATTAAGATATATAAGTGTAATTAATAGAAACTTATTTATATTTCAAAAATTAATATATTTTATATTAATCAATTACTTTTAATAAAAATTTGTACTATTCAAAATATAGAATTAAATTAAGATAGCAAAATTTCTTAGAAAACTATAAAAATAGAAGTTTTAAAAGAAACAAAGTAATTAAAAGAAAGAAAATAAATCTTTTTATTATAGAAAATATCTATAACTTTTTTATTTCAAAAATTAAAAAAATTTTCATGTACTTTATAACTATATATTTTTTTTAAAAATTTAATTATTATTTTTAATATATATATAAATCTGTATAAAACTTTTTAATCAATTATTATATAAAAATTTTATAATACATAAAAGTTAAAGTTCAATTAAAACAAACAAAAGTTTTTAAATATTATAAATATTTATAAATTTATTAAAATTAATTGAGTAATAGAAAAATATTATTTTAAATTAAACAAATTTTTATTAATTATATATATATAGTTTTATAATGTTTTTTTAATAAATAAAAAAGAAATTAAAATTCAATTATTTATTTTTTATTTTTTCTTATTATAGAAATTAAATATATTACTTGATTTGGTTTAATTATTAAAAAAATAAACTTTATTGGTTAGAAAACATTCAAATTTTCTGAAAATAATTTTTATCTATAATTAAAGAATTAATAAAAAATATTAATAAATATTAATAAAATATTTTAATAAAATATTATTATATTTCATATTAATTATAAAATATAAAATCTTGAAAAACAATATTTAAAAGAATAATTTAAATAATTTATAAAAAAATTAAAAAATTAAATTTTTATTTTATACTATATCTTATAAAATTAATAATTATTATAAAAAAATATATTCTATAAAATAAAAAAAACTTTTTGGAATATTTATTTATTAAAAAATGAATAAAATAAACAAACTTTTTTATTTAATATAAAGTTTTGATTTGATTTTATTTTGAAAATACATTTTCTTAATTTTAATTTTTAACATATATATAATAAATTAGATTATTAATTATATTAAATACAGTATACAGTTGTTTTCAAAAGTTTAAGTCTACTTATTACGTTTTTATTATAAATTTCAATTTTATCAATTTTTAAATCTTCAATTATATAATTAAAAATTATAAAATTTACATATCTCATGTCTTAATACTTATTCTATTTTTTATATTCTTTCAAAAAATTTGTATAAATAATTTTTAAAGTTTAATCATTGTTAATATTTTTAATTATTATATAATTTATAATAACACTCGATTAAAATTATTCAAAAATAAAAATTTTATAAAGAAAAAAAAAGGTTTAATAATAAAAATTACTTATAAAAATTCTTTGAAAAAAATTTGATAAATAAAACTAGTATTAAGATATAATATACTGTATATGAATTTTATAATTTTGAATTATATTATTAAGGATTTAAAAATCGATAAAATTAAAATTTATAATAAAAATATAGTAAGTGAACTCAAATTATTTTTAGTTATAATTTTTTTTCAATAAAGGTTATCATATACATATCATATAAATAGCAATAATAAATTTAAATTGAATTATTTATTTTATTTAATACAATAAATTCTAAGATATACGGTACGTATTATACAATATATACAGTGTACATATTTTCTAATGAAAACCATCATGTTGAGTCACGGCCACACACGTGGCAGGTGGCTCAACAACCCATCATTTCATTTCCCCGGATTATGGTCGTAACCAAGAACCGAATATGCGACCCGCCGGTAAAAAGACGACACCCGTTGGTCTTGGTCTGTTATATTTAGATAAATTAAATCTTAACCATATGCAGGAGAATAAGACGGAAAGTTCCGATATTGAGGTAATTAAAGAGACACTTTCTTTGGAAGTATTTGTTTGTTTTAGTGATCATAATGAATTTGTATTTTGGATAACATCATAGAGAAGGAGTGCGATAAGTGTAATGTAAAAGGAAATTATTAAAGGTATGTAACTTGTTGGATTGTAAATTTTAATTTATTTTTGGTTTGGAGGAGGGGAGGGGATGGTGAAGAAACTCGAATAACTCGAACCATCAAATCCGGATAGATAGGTAATAATCATTTGGATGTTGATAAGGATGCTAGCGGTTCCAGCGAACATGGGAGCAGGTATTGAACTTCAGCCCTTCAGCCACATCTTTATATTGCACGTAACGTAATCAGGTGTTCCTAATTTGGTAGTTTTTCGGAAACCAACTAACCAACGAAATAATTCTATCGTAAGAAAAAAAAAAGAAAACCAATTCCGTCTTTTTTACAACACAATCATAAATATTCTTGAACTCAGAAACAAGAAATTGATAATAATGTCGTATAACAAATCAGATGCCAATGTTTTGATCTTCGTACCTTTAGCCATATGAATTTGCCATATGATTGACTATTTCTTCTGGAGCCCTGATTGTTAAGTAAATGTAGGCTAACCCCTCGAGAAAGGCCTGATAATTGATTTTCAAAGCAAAGAGCGCACACATTAACGATTGGAATTTTATTTATTTATTTGTTTTTTTTTTTTTTTTTTTTTCCTTTTTTTTTTATATATTTATTTGTTATTGTACGTGCTAGTGCAAATGATCAATGTATCGCATATATAAATACTTACACTAAATATATTTTATTTTACCAGCCACCAAAGAAAAATTTTTTCCTCGCTACTATCACAGATATGTGAGTTATCACATGGTAGTATATGCTATCTGAACTACCCGAACCTTAACTTGTTGAGAGAGATATATATATATACATGGAGTTGCCTATTTAAATATTATACGTATGCAATAGACCCAATAGATGAGAAAAAAAAAATCGGTGCACATGGTTAATTTGTTTATTTCCCATGTTCTCAACTCCTTCTTTGAGATTCTTGAAAATCTCATTACAACCCTGGTAAAAATTAAATAAGAAACAGATTTTATCAAGATAACAAATGTAAACATTTATATGTTTATTCTATCCACTATACACACTGAAAAAAAAAAAAAAAAAAAAAAAAAAAACGTTTTTACTATTTTATTACGATGAAGTCTAGGTATAGAGTTTCCTTATCTTGTCGATATTATTTTCACCACTCGATAATAATAATAATAATAATAATATAATAATAATATTAATAATAATAATATTATTATTTGCATAAAAAAAAAAAAAAAAAACTTGTTGCCTATGCGATGGAGGGTTAACGAATTCCTACCAGTCAGTCTGCTACTTACTAACTCACTAACCGTCCGCCTCAAAAATGATCCACCAGAAAAAAAAAAAAAAAAAAAAAAAAATCCCAATGTTGGTGATTTGTGCGACGAACCCCCTTTGATGCTCAAAAGAAAAAAAAAATCTAAAAATTGATAAATTGGCTCATTCATCAGTTTCTCCTTCCTTCTTTCTCATCCCTTTTCTTTTCTGGCAAAGAAAAAACGTTCACCTCAGAAAACATTCCCTTATTTGATCATTCATCACATTATTATATATATATTCTACTTATAGAATAGATTCTACTACCACATCTCTATTCTATTTAATTTCTCTTGTTCATTTTCAATTATCGTAATCAAAAGTGAACAATCACTTCGAATCATCAAAGTTTGAAGAAAGCTCATTATAATTACATCCGTCGATAAAAACATCACCTTATTTCCCTTTCCCAAAAAAAATTTTTTTTGCGGCTTTCAGCTTCACGCCAAAGTATCTTGGAGAACATGCAACACCAGCAGTTTAGCTCGAGTTTCGTCTTTCCACCCGAAACTGTTGTTCAAAGCCCCGTGGTTCTTAACTCAGGTGAGGAACCTAACAGGCTTACGTTTTTCCTTTTTCCTTCTTTTTTTTTTATGGAAGGAAAAAACGCGCGTACTCGTTACACTTTACGTGAACTTGCTATGTAAAACAAGGAAACACACTTATTTATGCGAGAAAAACGTGTCAAATAAAAATTTTGCAGTCCTTCCGTGTTTGTTTCAGCTCCTGTGCATTTACACACTGAACTTTAGTATTAATGAGAAAAAAAAATTTTTTTTTCCCACAATCTTTTTGTCTCGCCTCTCTTAATAGATTTCACTTTCACCTGCCCCTCCGGAGTCCCGTTAGGTGTATCACCAAATGTTTCTTTATCCATGCCGCCAAATGTACCGTTGAATATGTTTTCTATGGATAACAGCCAGGCGACACAGGTTTCCCAGATCATTTCTCCTGCACCTTCATCACCTCTATCCATACTTGAATATCGCGACTCTCCGACGGCAGATGAACTCGATATCCCCGAATTTTTTCAATATAGCAAGGAAAAATATGAAAGTCAGAAGATAGGATGCAGGCGAAGGAGAAAGACAACACGTGACGATCACTTCGACACATCATCCCTGGACGGGGGTGATGATGTGGATGACACCAGCAGGTATTCATCGTATAAAATTAATTTTCCGTCACCTCGATAATCAAATGTTGCTAATTATATGATAAAACTGAATTTATCAGTACAATGTCACACGCTGAATTCAGGCGTCAAATACACATTCAATCAGAACAGAAGCGGCGTGCGGAGATCAAGGATGGTTTCGAGGAACTGCGTAGGCACCTTCCAACTACTTACACCGGTCGTAAAATGAGCAAGGCGGTATTACTGCAAAAAGGTATCACCGATTGAATACTTTTTGACGAATGATCATCGGGGATTTCGCAATGAACAATAACAGTAACACCTTCATTATCATGACAGCTGTTTCACATCTAAAAAATCAATCAAGAAAGGAATCATTTCTTCTCGATGAAATTAACCGCCTGAATCAAGCATGTGTATATCTGACTGCTGAGTTGGAGAAGGAGAAAAGGTACCTTTCGTCTTATGCACTTCTTTGTTAAAGAGATTCGTTTATTTGCTTCAAGAATGTTTAACTTATTCAACATCACCATTCATTCTTCGTTATCTGTCGTGATCTTTAAAGGATGAGCGCTCTTTACCGGCAAAAACAGACTCTTGACAAAATATATTCAATGGGGCTTTAAAAATTTTTCAGGGACATTTGGTTCATGCAAAAAAAAAAAAAAAAAAGTTTACACATCCATCTTTTTTTTTTTTTTTTTTTTTTTCCTTTTTTTTTTTTCTTTTTTTTTTTTTTTTTTTCCTTTTTTTTTTTTTTTTCTGCACGCCATTCTTGTTAATATTATTTTTTTTCTACCTGAACAACCAACAAAATATGACCAAACAGACAATTTTTCTTCTTATGTTGATTATTCTTATTTTTTCTCTTCGATAACGGTCGCCGAATGTTCTTTAAATTGACATTCACTTCCACGACTTAATCAGTTATCGTCATACTTGTGCGCGCTCTCATTATATTCTCAAATTGGAAAACATTGTTATTTCACGTTATCATTATGATCCATACCCACCACCGCTGCCACCATCACCCGCCACCACCATCATCACAATTATCATTATTATCATCATTATTATAATCATCATCATCATCATCACATCATTGGAGGTTTTGCATACTTCACTAAATCCCGACAATGAGTTGTAGAAGTTTATCTTGCCGCTTTTACATTCCTTTTCGGGCTTTTTTACTTTGTGGATTTTATGAAGTTAGATTGCAGATATCCTCTTTATTTTTTTTTTTTTTTTATTTGGTCAAGAAAATCTATTGTCTTTTTGCGTTCTCTTTTTCACAGGTTAAGTTAGTGTTTCCCCTTTGTCTCATTAGGAATTTGTTTATTCTTGCGTGTTTGTTGGAGTCACCGGGTTTGCAAAAGGAAACTAGGAAAGCTGGAAAAAACAAAAAAAAAAAAAAAAAAAAAAAGAAAAAAAAAAAAGAGGAATATTATAACGATAATAATAATAAATAAATAAATAAATAAAATAAATAAAAAAAAGAGAAAACGATGATTTACTCAATGCACAATGTTAACCTTCAGTTGTCTCGTGATTTTTTTTTTTTTTATTGAGTACGATCTGCATTATCTACGAGATCTGTGACTTTACATGACGCAATCGGGGTGTATCGTAAGGTGCGATATGAGAAAGGAGAACAGTAAGCTATATATAGGATCCTTATTTACATAGCGTGCGAACAAACAGTCATTTTTATTCTTATAATGTACTGTGTGTATACTATATACAGTGTATACAGTATATATAGATAGATAGATATCCCATATCTTGCAGGGATGGTGGTCATCCACAACTCTTTCTCTCTTCGACCGACAATCACCATCGCTCCTTGGTTGACGCAAATTATAACGGGGACAGTATGCACCAACTCACCAAACAGCCACGAAGCAAAAACGAATAGAATTCTTTGGATGGTATGAAAACATGACACAGATTTACTCGAGGTCCGGCACTGAAGGGTGCCTTGGAAATCGTGGTATTGTTGCCTAATTTATTTATCATAATTATACGGTGTTTACTCCGGATGAGGTGTACCACATCTTCAGCATGAGCTAATTCCTTTTCTTTTTAGGACATGTAAACAAAAATAAATGCTATCACAAAATTTAGAAGGTGAGATGCCTTTCATTGTCTAACGTTTCCAAATGTGTCCATATTGTTTCTCTTTTTTTTCACCAATGAGGCTATCGTCCAATTATTTATGGTAACACATTGATGAATCATCATCTTTTCACGCATCTATTCATTGTTCATGAATTAATCCTTCTTTTTCTTCCTGGAGCTTTGAACGTTGACAGGCTAACGTTGGCGGTGGAATTCGGAAAAGCCGGATCAGCGCATACGAGGTGGTCGATTCGACATATGTCGATGTTGTTACTTGACAAAGAAAAAAAATTTTAAGGTGCATTGCACGTACATCGGAATGCCTCAATAGATTCCGGCAGTTTTTACTATCATGTTGTACGCTAGAGGGTTTAAACTTGTATTCATTGCATCCGATACAGTCGATGCATTTGGTGCATTGGTAGCATTGTTGATGCTACATACAATTGTCGTAGTGAACTGCGTACGTACGTAGAATGAGGACCCTGGACAATGTATCCACTAAGCATATATTGAAATAAACAACTTCTTTTGTTGTACACACACAATTTGAAGGAACCGGTTTTTTCTATATTGATGATTAGAAAAAAAAAAAAAAAAAAAAAAAAAAAAGAGCGAGCACGTGACCAAATTGGATCACAGTTGCCTGCACCACAAATGTGATGTGACCCGTGGACTCCATAATTTGTGGCGCCCCAAATTCCAGGTGACATGTGATGGTGAGGGAGGGTAGGGTTGGTGAGGGGCAGTGCGAAGAGACCGATGACCGAGTAAATGCGTGCTTTTGCGAATACGCATCTGACATTGTGGTGGACATCACGCAGGTGTGAAATTATCGCAAATTGAAATATAATTTGTTGCGTCAATGTTTATTACCAATCGACACCAATGAATCAAGAGCTTACCCTTGGAGAAATCTCGATTGGGAGAATTTAGCCGCACAAACAAACCACCACGTTTCAAATTTTGTCACGTGATCATGTGGATTTTATTATTATTATTATTTTTTTTTTATTTTTGAGCTAGCATTCATGAATTCGTTTGTTATAGTGCATACACTGATCCAAACAAATAGTAAACGTCTCATCACGACTATCTGACGCGGAGTCAAAAAGTTTATCGTCGATGATGTTGAATGACACCTTCATAATTTGGCGATCAAAAAAACATCGATTTGCTCGATTTGCAAAGACCAATCACAAACAAGACTCCTGCTCCGTCGACGGTCAAGGTTTTGCGTGCAATAATTGAAGATGAAGCAAGTAAACTTTAATCCCCGTGAGGTATCTCTTTCTTGTTACCAATTTCTATTTACGTTTGATGAATAATTAAAGCAATTATGGTGATAATCGCAATTTTGGTTAGACCGGTGTAAATTGTATTTGTTATTGACATTCACCGAGCAGCCATTTAAATGGCCATCATGTTGGACAAAAAAAAAAAAAAAAGAAATTATGAATTCTGAGAATTTAAGAATATCTCGAAAATTTAGCGCACAAAGGGGACCATCGTCTGTTTGGTCGAATTTCATATCACACGGATTCTCTTTTTTTTTTTTTAACATGAAATGCATCACTCTAATTTATTTTCGTATATCATTACATTTTTTTTTTTTTCCGCGAGTTCTTCGGATTCACGAGGTCCAAAAAGAAAAAAATTTTTTCACGACTCATCTAGTGGGAAGAATGGCACAAGGGCGATGAACGACCTTTCTAAAGACATCAATTTTACGGATAAACCATACATGCGAATTATATTTGTGATGATGAGTGCGCGTACGAGCTAGTACACATGTTTGGTATATTCCGTTTATTTTGTGTACGCGCGTTAACTATTTTTATTTATATTAAAATAAAAATTCAATTTTACACAAGATTAGAATGTGGCGAATGAAGACGGAGCGACCTGCAGCCACGATCGCGACGCACGTGCGTCAAATTGTCCGATCAATAAATAAAATAGTGCGTGCGTACTGTACATGTGTAAGATGAGTCTTTCAATCGACCCAACAATACTAACATAACAAAAAAACCTATCATACTAAATAAAGGAATGCACAATAGGGATGTAGGAAGGTATTCGAAAAAAAAGACCACCGCAAATACCGATCCGTTGTATCTTCTTTATAATAATAAATAATGATGAGAACACGGTATTTTGTCAACCTTTCGGATCAATCACCAATCCACTTTCGACATTGCCCAGGCAAACAAAAAAAAAAAAAGTTTCCGAATCCGAACTACGTGCCATATTCCCGAGCACATATTATTCTGTTTTTCCTGTGTCCAGGACGGTTGGCGCACAAATCAAAGACCGTCTGGCATGTGTCATTAAGTCAGAAATTAAGTTACCCGCTTAACCTCAATTATCCTCATTCATTAGTTTCTTGTTAACTTGTAGATATTTGTATACATCATAATTAAAACAATCGCACCTGTTAGCTTCCTGATTATCGCAAAAAAAAAAAAAAAAAAAAAAAAAAAAAAAAATTCAATAAAGAACGTGTTTCTTTAATGAAAGTAGAGCGTGATTCTAACACGAGGTTTTAATCAAATGAAAACAAAAAAAAGTTTTTCAACCGACCGTATCCCAAGTTGGAAATTTGATTCTCTGGTTAATCATATAATTACAGTATTATCGCCGTCAGTTAATTTCAATATTATTATTGTTTCCTGTTTTCGTGATGTTGATTATTGTTATTAATGTTGTCGCTATAATCGAACGCGCTATTCGATTAGCCGAGGTGATGAGGAAATTTCTCAACTATGATCATCAACCAACATCTTATCGACGCCATTCGCTCGAATTGTGGCCGCTCAAAAAAAAAAATTTCCGAATTTCGCAAGGTGAATAAAATCACATGAGGCAAGATTACGTACATAAAACAAGATTGAACAGACGTGAAAATAGATTACGCACTCGGCAATCTGATAGTGCTACAATTAAGTTTAATGAACACATATGTGTGACATATTGTCAGGAACCAATGAAATTAGGTTCCTTGGAGATGCCAATCCGTTATATGACTTTATTTGAACATATTAAAAACTAAAAAAATCATTTTTGAGAATGTTGGAATCCGTCATTTGACGCGAACGAAAAACCGTGGCCTACACAAGATAAGTTTATCAAACATCTTACATTTGATCCATCGTTTCGGTTTTCTTCTTTCCTGAAATTGATTCAATATATACGTGTTCATACGTATATATATATATATATATATATATACACACATATATATATATATATATAATTTTTTTTTTTTGTTTATCCGTTGTTGATTGAGGTCGAAACCCCCACACACAAATTCTCCACACACACGCAAAACACAGCCTCAACACCTTAAAAACGCTAAATTTTTACTTTGAGGAGGAAACTCGTGGGGGCACTTTAGCTCACATAAAAAGTTTCTATCGAATTTTCCTAAAAAGGTACCAGAAAGTGTGTGA